ATATATATATTTGGGTAGCCTCTAGAACATTCTTCCCTGCCTGGTTTGTTGGACTTTGTTTGGCAGCTTTGACACTGACATACTGTAGCTCTCCATCGCGCCTAAGAATGCCAGCTGTTAGGTCAGCTCTGCAGCGCACACGGTCAATCAGCACGTGATCAAACACCTGTTTCCTGTACGTAGATTGTTTATATTGTAAATATAATAATAAACGTGAATCCACTGTGTACTCGTATGCAACTTTATTAGCAGCTTCCTCGTAACATTGCGCCAACAACATAACATGAGTATAACATCAAAGTCTCTAGTAACATCCTCTCTGCCCCCTAAATAAATTATAAAAAAAATTGTCACAATTCCGAGGTCGGGCTTTATAGCCTGTGAGGGTTTGGATGTCCCTCCAGAGACTCTGTGCATCTCTAGTGTTGCTGAAGTGTACAGATATTTTCTTGTTGTATTGACATTTTGCCTCCCTGATTCCATGGGACAGGTTGGCTCTTGCTGTTGCTAGGCCTGCGGTGTCACCGGCCCTAACGACTGCATCCAAAGCCCTCAAGAGTCTATGAACCTCACCTGTCATCCATGGCTTCTGGTTAGCATGAAAATAATATTTTTGTGGGTGACATCATCAATGCATACGTAGGGGTACGTAGATTGTTTATATTGTTAGTATAATAATAAACGTGAATCCACTGTGTTGAAATTTTTAACTCTCCATAACGCTAAATCAATGGGAGCCCTGAACTTGTTTCTCTGCAACGAGATGGTCCCATCTGGGGGTAATAGGAGACAATGACACCCGAAGTGTGTTGCTTATGTTCAGTCTACTCCGTTGTTTTGTTTTGGTTGCTGTCACTGCAGAAAAACCTGCTTCACACAGATAGGATGTCGGAAATGGCAACAGGGTTTTCAGTGCTGTGGTGGCGATCTCAGGGTATTCTGTCATGACTTTAATCCAGAACACCGGCAGAGTTGTTGTCTCGAACATACTTTTAAGGCCGCCGTCATTTGCGATCTCCAGCAGTTGATCTTCTTCTTGCACAGACCTGCTGGATTCACCTGGTTTGTTGACAAATGGGTTGCGGATCCCTTCCTTGGCAGTTCGTGGGTCCTTTGTGGTTGGGAAGTAGCGCTCGAACTCTTTTAAAGGCAAAGACAGGTGATCGTGCACCAGCTGGGAGAATGAAGACTCAGGCTCAGTGTCACCCCAAATCCCCGCTAATGTTTGAAACATGTCCAAAATGCCTCTGTTGACGCGCCGTCCCCACAAATCCAGTTTGGCTTTAAATGCAGCTACTTTATCTGCCAACTTGAAGACAGTTGTCATTTTCCCCTGAAGTGACAGATTGAGTTCATTGAGCAGGCTGAATATGTTGCACAAGTAATCCAGTTTTGGCGCTGAAGTGACCAAGATGTAACCGAGATAATGCGGTCATTTTTCAAAATAAAAGATCGTTCAGATTCAGATAATAAATAAAACGGAAATACTTAATGATTTCTTGTGCGGCCCGGTACCAATTGATCCACGGACCGGTACCGGTCTGCGGCCCGGGGGTTGGGGACCACTGTTCTAGTGAACACAAGCTTCACCTCAAACATTTATTACAAGCAGGCACATCTGTAAAATCCCCAACATACATCTAAAGATGCAACCCCCTGCTGCGCAACAGGAAGAAATCTTTGACTTTTCCTCTAACATATGGGAGGGAACTCAGTGTGACCGAAACACAGATTGTTGAGGCCCGAGTCTGCAGGTGGGACAAGAGGAAGCAGCTAGCATGGATATGCTCACTATTCACACACACACAAATTACTTTGTCATTGCACTGACCGAAAATTATGAACACAAAAATGTAGAAGTAACACAATGGTATGCGAGCTTCAATTTCACACGTTTCTAGCCTCTATGGCTTTTCATAAATTCTAGCAGCCCTGAAGTGTATTAAGAAATGAACACATTGTATTGGACTTGTTTGAGCTGTACACGTTTAAATAAATCAATCCTGCAAAACTGGTTGTATAGGATAAAAAAGAAGAAATATTAAGACACTCAAACATTATTTAAAGATTTTAATACTGTTCACGACCAGACACACAAACAGTATCAGCAACAACCATAACAAGGAAAAAGAGACACTTGATAAAGCTAAATGCATAATAGTGCAGATCTGTTATATGTGATTAACTTCTGTAATTTCTCTTGGCCAAACTTGATCACCAAAGTAAGAGATCATAAAGCACCCTGTCAGCTGCTGATCATAGAAATGTAAAGCTGATATTTAAAAAATAAATTTCAGGAAGTGGTTCTTCTCTTTAGATCTACAAAACCAGTGTCAGACCAAACAAATACACCCCCCCATTAAAAACTAAAACAAGCGGTAAAACGGCCTCCTTATCTTAAAACTGTAATTTGTTCAAATTCTTTAGTGTAAATCTTGCCAAGTGTAGCGGAGTTATAATTCCATTTGCCATAACCCAAATAATTTGTTGCAATGGCATTTTATTTTGTTACTCCCTCCAGAAGTGAGATGTGTGTGGTGGTAATAGATTGGGGTGCCCCTGCAAACTTGAGGGGGTGCAGCCCGTGCTGCTTCCTTACTTATAATAAGGAAGCGTGGTTCAATTGGCGCCAGTCTGCCATACACTCTCATGGAGGTAAGTTGCGTTCGCTGCTGCTATACTAGCATAGCATGACAATTGGTACCTAAGTCTAAAACTGTTTTTGTTCCCTTTTAGTTAATTTGAATGCAACGGAGCTAAAGCTGTGCTGTTTTATGTTCTCTGTACCAGGTATTGTGCATTTTAATTTATTTTATACACAGGCCAGTCTGCCATACACTCTCACGGAGTTAATTTGAATGCAATGGAGCTTAGGCTGTGCTGTTTTATGTTCTCTGTACCAGAAATAAAGACATTTGTAGCTGAAAGATTGTCTCCAGCCGGGTTAATCACAACGCAGAGTACCTCGACACGGATGTGACGAAATCATTCCGCTACACAAGCACGTGTAATACCCACAGTATTTAAGGTATTTGCTTTTCCATTAGATATTTCAAAAAGTTTTTGTGCAGCCAATTCTAGAACAAACTCTCACAAAAACTAAAATGAAGTGAAAAACACATGCTAGTTTGTCTTCTAGCTAAATCTTACTCGACAGGTATTACAGTACGCAGATATTGTTGCTTCAGGACCTGGGCTAAATGGTAAAACATGTAAACTTAGTGACAAAGAGTGACTGTGGCTTCGACACGTGCTATCTAAATGACCACTTAGAAAAACTGCTTCACTCTATTTAATCCGTTTGTGTTTTCTGCTTTTTGAACTTACAGCCTACAATAAAGATGCTTAAAGGCAGCTGTATATCTAAACAAAAGCAATCAGGTTACTTAGGTATAACCAGTCATGCAGCATCAGATTTCTCCAACTACTCCAACCTGGTTTTTTTGGTTCCTTCGGCTGCTCCCTGCCAGCATCAAATACATTAAGTATCTGATGCTGGATGCCAATCCTGACAAGTTAAAAGCCACCAGTCAACCCAAGATGCATGTTTTTGGACTATGGAGTACCCGGAGAGGACCCATGCAGCAATGGTGATATATACAAACTCCACTCAGAAAAGTCAGCCAGAAGGTTCAAACGTGGAACCTTCTTGCTGTTAAGTCTAGTCCAGCGTGGACGTATCTAACATTTGTTCAGTGGAGACAGCCCTACAGTACATAGACTTCCAAAGGCTATGGTTTTAGTTTAACAGATATTGGATGGGGTTATTTTGAACCCGAGGATGGACTGAACCGGAAACTGTAGCCACTTATCAGTGGTCAAAAGACATGGCAACCACTATTGTAATCTGATGAGACAGACAAGGCAGATGTTTCCAGTAAGATCTGGAAACCTGTACTGAAACCTTTTCACAGTGAATGCTAATGCCCTGTGCCCAGTGGAAAACACCTGGCTATGTAAATCTTTGGTCATTTATTTCACCTTAACTGTTTTTTTATGTCCCTATAAAACAAACATACAGCATGTCTTAAAAACAAGATGATTAAAAGCTCAGTTATTGTGTATGTAGCCTATCAGGAATCAGGTTACAGCAGAAAGCCAACTGTATTTTGCCATGTACGGGCATGGATTTGCACCGACAAAGTTCAAAGAACTTTAGACAAAGAAATGCTGCGTATCTATGTAAGAAAAGCTACAAGATCATCTCAGGCTCGTCTCTCTCTCACACCATCTTGTCTTCATGCTCAGTGGACAAGTAGAGGGGCTGTGGTCAGCTGCAGGTTCAATCCCCTGAGAGGTGAGAAGGGAGGCAGGTCTTCGTAGCCCAACAGCTGACGGGTGGATGCCTCCCAGCTCCAACCAAACTCCAGCCGGCTGTAGGCACATGGGTACTGCCGGTCAGCCCAGCAAACCCAGTCCACCGCCCTCTTCACCTCCTCCCAGTGCTCAGACCTGGTAGAGAAAGTCAGACATTATCAAAGGAGGAAGCTGCTCTGAGAACAGTTGGCCGGGTTTACAAAATCATCCAGAGCAAACAGATTAAATAAATTATGATACTTTAACAACCTGGCATTATTATTTATATGCATTTCTTTTATAAGGTGTGCTTTATGGGACATTGGAATTTATCACATTTACAAAAAGAACTGATACTTTGATCGATTCTTCTTACAGATCAGTTTCTCCTCTGATGCCACAAGTGTTCATGTTTGATTTCTCCACTGCTCTATGTTTGTACCTTATTTGGACTACTGTGTTGAGTGTTGGGGAAATACATACAAAGCGCATTATGCTCATTATTTAAACTACAGAAAAGGGCCATTAGAATTGTTCATGGACTTGGTTATAGGGATCATACAAATTCATCATTTGCACATTCAGGATTTTTAAAATTTTTTGACTTAGTAAAATACAAATCTGCTGTATTTATGTATAAAGTCAGATATAATTTGGTGGCAAGTGTTATTCGGGGTCTGGTGATCGAGAGGGTGGTTATGGATTGAGGGGCCACTTAAATTTAAAAACTCAGGCCATACGTACAACTAGGAAAAGTTTTTGTATATCTGTGAGTGGTGTAAAATTATGGAATAGATTGGGTGATGATTTAAAACAATGTACAAGTGTAAAACAATTTAAGAATAAATATAAAAAGGCCTGCATAGCTGGGTATTGTTTTAAGTTATTATCGGTGTATTTATGGGTGGGATATGAATAATTTATTGTTTATCATTTGTTTGCCAATTATGTAAATGTGATTTGTGGTTAGAAGGAATGTAGTAATTTGGTGGTTGCGGGAATTTAACCAGTGTAGTCGTTTAGTTAAATATTTGGGTTGTGTCAACCATAGTTTGGATCACTAGGGGTAGAACTAGATAAGTATTACTTCTTTCTACTCCCTTGCAAGCATGTAATGACTAATCATCATCAAGAGAAATTTCTATTTTTTTGGTTGTATATGGTAATTGGTTTGGTTGTTTTGTGTTACATGTTGATTTCTTTTTTTTTTTTTTCTCTGTTTCTCTGTTTTATTACATGCTTGGAATAAATAAATAAATAAATTTTGGATTGATCACGTCTTGTATTTTCTGTGACTTTTTTTGATCTAATTTAGGTTGTAACCAGTGGTGGAATGTAACTAAGTACATTTACTCAAGTACTTCTTTTTTGAGGTACTTGTACTTTGAGTATTTTCTTCTCATGCCAATAAATATACAGCTAATACTTTTTATTAAACTACATTTAAATAAGAGATTGAGTTACTTTACAAATCAAGATTTTTTTGCAGACAAAACATGGCAACTATTTTGATAAATACTGATGTAATTTTTCATGACAAAGTGCTATTGTCATATTTCCTGTATTTCATGGCTCCAGCTCCTCAGATATGAAAAAGCAAAGAGGAGTTTTACTCAAGTAAAGGATCTGAATACTTCATCCTCCACTTTTCAACACGTATTTTGGCTGCACATTGAACCTTTGAGACTAGACTAAGGATGTGTTTTTAAAAATACTTAGAAAGGCATTTATTTTACATTGCTTTACATTGTTGTGACTAGCTGAGGACTGACCTAGGCTGAGAGGAGTCGTCCAGGCGGAAGAGGGTGTGCAGCAGTTTGCCTTCCTCCAGCCTCTCCACCCTCATCAGCTGCAGAACCAGGAGAGTCGCCAGTAACCTCAGGATATCCGCATGGGCCCTCACACCTGCACAACACACATGGTTTTAACACTGGTGGGAACCAAAGCTCCAGTCCCGGTTGAGATGTCTGTACTAGTTATTAACAACAGGCCACACTGACAAAAACTGAACTGTTTGCTATGTCACAACTTCACAAGTACAGAAGATCCCAGTACAAACCGGCCACAGTAACATTTACTACATAGGAAAAGATGTTATTCATGTGCTTTTTACAATCTAGGCTGATTGTACCACTTCTTTACTGGCTGATGATGCTGTTAAAGCAGAACTGTGAGAACTAACCTGTTCACACAATGAAATTGGAAAATTGGCGCCAGCTTTCAGGTAATGGTAGTATTTCTAGTAATGATGGCTCTTCTAACCTTACTTTGAATCATGATTTTGCACTGAATATGCAACGTTTCATTAGGTTTTTGTCGTACAGGTTCTGTGAGCTCTCACCTAGAGAACGGATGCCCTTGTTTTGCAGGTACACGTTGGCAAAGAGATCTACGTCAACATTTATGGATTCACCCAGCTCTGTGGTTAACTCCCAGTAGCCCTCCTGCAACACACATTACAGGTTTTCCCTTCATTCAAGCTTAAAACAGTTTTTCATGAATATACTGTCAATAACAATGTAGATTGCAACAAATATGTCCCACATGATCATGCATCTCTGCGCCAGGCCATCTGAAAATGAACACTAAACCAACACAATGAGTGACAGAAATAATATACTGTAATCCACTTAGTTTGAATAAAACAAGTCCTCTTAATTTCACAGTTTCAGCCTATTAGACTAAACAGGTATGTGTCTCAAACACATTCATGGCAGTAAAAGAAGAGACACAGCTAATAAAATTCTTTGGGGCAGCAACAATGACAACATTACTTTCATACAACTATACATGTGCTGTAAATGAAGCTAGGCCATTATTAATGTTAATCAAATTAACTCCTCCACACTGACCATGGTTTGTTGGCACAACACTGGTTTTTCCAGCCTTTCTGAGTAGCTCCTCTTTGCTACTCTGATCTCCTTTGTCAGTGTGTTTCTAGCCTGCTTATACAGGGTCCTGTCCCCATTCTTGTAGGCCTCCTCTTTTGCGTGACAGAGCTGTTTGAGCTTCACTGTGAACCAAGGTTTAATGTATGTGCAGACAGTCTTAATGGAGGCACACACACACATGTCCTCACAGAAACTGATATAGTCAGTAAACTCATCCAGGTCTGTATCTGCAGCCACAATAACACCCCAGTCTGTACAGTCAAAGCAGGCCTGTAGCAATGCTTGTCACCCAAACTGAGTCTGCTCACAGACACACGCTGTCTGGTTCACTCAATCACAACATTGTTAACAAAAGGTTTGAGTCTTCGAACAGAGTTGGTGGTAACAAAAATCAAAGCTGATACAGTGGAACCTTGGATTGCGAGTACCCCGGTTTGCGAGTGTTTTGCAAGACGAGTGTAGTGGTTAAAAATAAACAAGGTTCCAGAGGTAATATGTAATAGAACAGTATGCACTTCATATATAGATATTATTTGTAATAGTTATGTAAGGCTGAGCTAAGTGTTTACAGAAGCTTGATCTGTTTCTTGCGCAAGCAAGAATATCTTGGGCTGTGTCCCCATTGTTTAACCTATGGGTCAACATCCCGAGTGACTTCCTCCTTAGATGGGGAATGGATAGCTGCAGCCTTATGTGAACTGTTCGTGTGCTCTGTTCAGGTTTAGAAAAAGGAAATGTGCGCTAGGTCAATGCGACCTAGAAGTTCATGTACTAGACATTTTTAGACAATGCTCGGAAGAAGTTTTGTGTGGGTAGCTGGCATGAGACTGTGTCTCATGCTCAGGCCATGGAAGGCTGTATAAGTGCAAGCAGATAAAAGGCTAGGATAGCTGGGTTAGAGCAGAAGAATTGAGGATGACAATGCCACTGTGAAAAGTGTTCCGGGGACCCAGGCCTGGGTGGGGAAACAAACTCAGGACTATGAACTCTGACTGACGGTACCTCGTGACCAACAACAACTGACTGGACTGACTGGCGCTTTGACAATCTTCTTATTTAATACTTTATCTATCACATTGCAGGAGGAGTGACTCTGGTCTCCGTTCTCTGTTCCCTATCAGATCTTCTGTTTCACTATTACTCTGTTCAGAATAATTGTAATATTAAATGGTCATTTAAATTGGGATGATTTGTCTGAATTAATTTAGTCGGCTTCACACTCTAGCCATGACACAAGCAAAAACATTTTGATTCGATATACGAGTGAGGTCTCGCAATATGAGTAGTACGTACACTTTGTCTGCCGAGCATCACGTGACGCAAGTCATAACTGAGCCGATGGTTCTCGCGCTTCACTCGTATAGTCAATATCTATACTGCAACAATGGCCCCTCACGCCAGCCACGATTCTTTTCAAAGGTCAAGTGCAGGTTAATGTTTTATTTTTACTTTATACTGTATTTTTTATTACTGTAATCATTTTTATATGGATAAGTGGGTGTGGAACGAATCATCTGAGTTTCCATTATTTCTTATGGGAAAATTCGCTTTGATATACGGTTGCTTTGAATTACGAGCACATTGCTGGAATGAATTATACTCGCAATCCAAGGTTCCACTGTATTTTACTTGCCAGCAGGACATGCAAACTGTTCATTTATTCACACACCTGCACCTGCACCTGAATGAAATGCATCCATGATCCATGTTTTTAATTTCATCTGTTCAGTAGAAATGCTCACGTAGACCCATTAAAAATGCAAAATCTCTTACTGAATGCTGCATCTGGAAGATCTTTGTCCATTTGTGCGTTAGTGTTTCCGGATCAGCTGGTGTCATCCTGAAACAGCACAGTCACAACAGGACACTTGTCAGTGTGACAGCTGATGTATAATAAAAACGCATATGCCCAGGGATGTAAAGAAAACCACACACTTCAGCTGACTTGCTCTTCCTTCCACATGCATAAATGCACATATACAGAGAACACACAAAAACACCCTTCAGTCCACCAGCTAGTTAACAGCTGATTTCCTCTGGTCAGCTAAAGCCTTGTCAGCATTTAAAATGAGTACTCTGGCAACACTAATTGTTTTAAAAAACTTTTAATCAGATTTTCTAAATAGAAGCATATTTAAAAAATGTATTATTCTAGGACTCACTCCACATCCAGTGCGTCCAGCACACCTGAAGTCTGAGGACATATTAGGGATAACCTCTTCCTCCTTAAAACAGATGGACGTGCATCTCCAACATGTTCAGGTTCCCTCTGGGCCAGTCCGAATCCAAAACAAGAACGTGGTGGTTGAATTTTCTCTACAGAATGGCTTAACAATTGCGCTTTTTCTACAAGATTAGGCTCAGTGTGGTCTGATGTCCCCAGAAATTGCACACTAGATTCATAGGAAGCGATATAATCTGAGTCCTGGTCAAAAGCAAAATTGGATATTGCCCCTTCATATGAGAAGACTTTGATTCCAGTTGTATCAGCTGCCATTACTGGGGCTAAAGATGCTTCCTTTGCAAGATGTATAGGCACAGCTGCTGTACACAATTCCACAGAGACAGCGGAACTCTTCTCTGTGTCCAGAAGGTCAGGAGCTAATGAAGACGTCATTAAAGCACCCGTGGCTAATTCTTGAGCAAAGAAAGAGGGATGACTGCCTGAGTACATGGTAATGTCAGGTGAGGAGAATTCACCATGACGTTGCCTGAAGGCTCTCCTGTGTCCTGCTGACCGCTTCAATCGAGGCTCCATGTCACGAATGTTGCCTAAGAGGGCAGGAGGAGGAGCTGGGCAAGGAGGAGGAGGAGGAGCAGAGCCAGGAGGAAGAGGAGCTTGGCACAGAAGACGAGAAGCACGTCTAGGAGGGGGAGGGGCAGAGCAGGGAAGGGGAGGAGCAGAGCAAGGAGGAGGAGGAGCTGGGCAAGGTAGGGATGGAATCAACATAGTTTTAAGATAAGGAGATGGTCCAGGAAGAGCAGGAGCTAGGCGAGGAAGAGCAATAGGTGTGCCAGAAAGAGGGGGTGCTGGACAAGGAGCAGAACCAGAGTGAGCAAGAGCATGGAACGTACGAAGAATGTGGGGAGCAGGAGATAAAGAGAGTGCAGCATTGCCAGAAAGAGGGGGGCAAGAGGTATCAAGACCTTCCATGAGGTCTATATCAGATAAGGCAAGTTCATCTTCAACAAAACTAACACCCATCGCTTCATTTGATTCTGTGCCTGATTCCAATTCATGCGTCCTTTTTCTGCTCCTTTCCAACATTAGGTAATCCGAAAATGAAGCACCGTCTATTGGTAATTCCTCAGCCAAATCAGGTAAGGAGTAGCAAGTCTGATAAAGAAAAGAAATTGAGAAAGCCAAAAAAAAAGTCAGAACCTATCTTAAAACAACTGCAATACAAACTTTTTTCCAGTTTATGCAATTAAATGTTTCTAGATCAGCTCTCTCAAAGCAAACTTTTAGGATTCCTGATCTAGGTTTTAACAAGTCCTTTCAGAATACCAGCCTGCCCCTGCTTTCACATTAAATGTCATTTTCTGTGAATCTCATGCAAAAAGACTGGAGTTATTATTATCATCCATAACTTCATATACAGTGGGGAAAACAAGTATTTGATACACCGCCGATTATTCAAGTTTTCCCACTTACAAAGAATGGACAGATCTGTAATTTTCATCATAGGTACACCTCAACTGTGAGAGACAGAATCTACAAAAAAATTCCAGAAAATCACAGTTAGATTTTTAAATAATTTATTTCCATTTTGTTGCATGAAATAAGTATTTGATACAATAGAAAAATAGAACTTAATATTTGGTACCGAGGTCAGATGTTTCCTGTAGTTCTTGACCAGGTTTGCACACACTACAGCAGGGATTTTGGCCCACTCCTCCATACAGGTCTTCTCCAGATCTTTCAGGTTTTGAGGCTGTCGCTGGGCTCCCTCCATAGATTTTCTATTGGGTTCAGGTATGGAGACCGGCAAGGCCACTCCAGGACCTTGAAATGCTTCTTACGGAGCCACTCCTTAGTTGCCCTGGCTGTGTGTTTGGGGTCACTGTCATGCTGGAAGACCCAGCCACAACCCATCTTCAATGCTCTTACTGAGGGAAGGAGGTTGCCCAAAATCTCGCGATACATGGCCCAATCCATCCTCTCCTCAATACGGTGCAGTTGTCCTGTCCCCTTTGCAGAAAAGCACCCCCAAAGCATGATGTTTCCACTCCCATGCTTCACGGTTGGGATGGTGTTCTTGGGATTGTACTCATCCTTCTTCTTCCTCCAAACACGGTGAGTGGAGTTTATACCAAAAAGTTCTATTTTGGTCTCATCTGACCACATGACCTTCTGCCATGCCTCCTCTGGATCATCCAAATGGTCTTTGGCAAACTTCAGACAGGCCTGGACATGTGCTGGCTTGAGCAGAGGGACTTTGCGTGCGCTGCAGGATTTTAAGCCATGACGGTGTAGTGTGTTACTAATGGTAACTGTTGAGACTGCGGTCCCAGCTCTCTTCAGGTCATTGGCCAGGTCCTCCTGTGTAGTTCTAGGCTGATCCCTCACCTTTCTCAGCATCACTGATACTCCACGAGGTGAGATCTTGCATGGAGCCCCAGTCCGAGGGAGATTGACAGTCATCTTGAATTTCTTCCATTTTCTCATAATTGCACCAACACTTGCTCACCAGGCTGTTTGCCTATTGTCCTGTAGCCCATCCCAGCCTTGTGCAGGTCTACAATTTTGTTCCTAGTGTTCTTAGACAGCTCTCTCTTGCTATAGTGGAGAAGTTGGAGTCTGATAGATTGAGTGTGTGGACAGGTGTCTTTTATACAGGTAACGAGTTCAAACAGGTGCAATTAATACAGGCAATGAGTGGAGGATAGGAGGGCTTCTTAAAGACAAACTAACAGGTCTGTGAGAGCCAGAATTCTTGCTGGTTGGTAGGTGATCAAATACTTATTTCATGCAATAAAATGGAAATAAATTATTTAAAAATCTAACGGAATTTTTTTGTAGTTTCTGTCTCTCACAGTTGAGGTGTACCTACGGTGAAAATTACAGATCTGTCCATTCTCTGTTAGTGTGAAAACTTGAAAAATTGGCAGTGTATCAAATACTTATTTGCCCCACTGTATCAACAGTAACTTACCAATGAGCAAATGAATGAGCACTGCTTTGCTTTATCAATATGAGTGTGATGTCGCACAAGGATATGGGACTCATTAATTAACAATTAACATTTAGGACTCATTAACCTAATAAGTGTTACTTATTATCCCCCCCCCCCCCCCCCCACTTTTCCTGCTTTAAAAAACAACAGCTCACTCTAAAGAATGCATTTGTCTTCCCCAGCAAGAAATTACAAACATGCCGTTGTGGTTTATGTATGAAGGGAATTGGTGAATAATGTGGAGAGGCTGAGGCCTGCCCATCATAGTTCAACAAAGAGACAAAGAGATAAAAGCAGGACTAGCACATACCAACAGGTAAATTTGCTCTTTCCCCTCTCCCTGGTTATACTACACACTGTGTGATGTTACCTCCAAAAAAAACCAAAAGAAAAAAAAACATACATCACATAGTACATCTGACAGTTCTTTGTCCTCCTCTTCACTATGCTCAGGAGAAATCCAGCTGATGTATGTGAGGATGTCCACATCTTCCTCTGCAATCAACTTGGGGATGTCTGTGAAACCATCCTCTGTTTGTTCTGGGTCCTAAAATATGGAAGAGGAGTTTGGTTGGGAGCTACCAGAAGTGGATACAAATAAAAAGGTAGAAATGTTTAAAATCCAGTGACAACTGCACAAACCCTTTCCTCAATGGCCACAAAGCTGGTGAACTGAGACAGGATGGAGAACTCTCTGCTCAACCCAATGATGAAGGATTTCAGCTCCGCTTTCTTCCCCTGGAAGAGAGGGAGAGAAAATAAACCATGTGGAGCTCAGACTGGATTTAAACTGAGGTGTGTTGCTTTTGGCCTCACTCAATGACACACACAAACGCACCTCATGTTCAGCTTCATCACTATCCAGGCTTCCGTCTTCATAATCCCTGATGAGGGCCCTTGCTGTGAGCTTGTGAAGAAACTGAACACATACATCAATACACATTATAATCATCACCTCATGTTCATGATAATGACAGTCACCATCAATTAGTTGCCAGGTTACTCAGAGAAATCTGAGGGCTGTTTCACAAAACCTAGATAGTGCATTAAGCTGGGCTTTTCCAGTTATCCTGGCTGAACTTAGCTGTGAATCCATCCGTTATCTATACTGCTTATCCTGAAGAGGGTCATGGGGGGCTGGAGCCAATCCCAGCTGACACTGGGTGAGAGGCAGGGTCCACCCTGGACACGTCACCAGTCTATCACAGGGCTGACACAGACAGACAACCACAGACACGTTCTTGGTGTGAGGCAGCAACGCTAATCACTGCACCACCATGCCACCCCTAGCCATGAAATGGATTCACAAAAGCAGTAGTGCATAAATTATCATGGAGATTTATTCTGTGCAGCCTCCTTAGTCCAGGCTAACAGCCAGGCTCCATTAATCCTATTCCCTTATCTGTTCTGTTAGCAGTCACTCTGTGTCTTATCATCTTTATGCAGATGATGTTCAAATTTATTGCTCTTTTAATGACTCTGAGTTCCATTTTTTAGCTACATTGTTAGAGTGCTTGTCATCCATCAAGAACTGGTTTAACAGTAACTATCCTCATATAAACTCTAATAAGACTGAAGTGCTGATTATTGCGCCTGATAATAAGATCCCGTCAATCAGACAACGCCTTGGTTCATTGGGCTCCTCTGTCCAGTCGAGCCTCAGAAACCTTGGTGTTGTGTTTGATCACACTATGTCTCTCGATTGTCATGTAAGACAGGTGGTAAAAAATTGTTTTTATCATCTGAGGAATATTTCTAAATTAAGGCAAATGTTATCAAAGGTTGACCTGGAGATGATTATCCATGCTTTTATCTCTGCACGTCTTGATTATTGTAATTCCCTTCTTATTGGTTACAATAAGTCAACTGTAAATCGTCTTCAGATTGTGCAGAATGCTGCAGTTTTTATCACCTAAAGAATATTTCTAAACTAAGGCAAATGTTATCAAAGGTTGATTTGGAAATGATTATGCATGCTTTTATCTCTGCACGTGTTGATTACTGTAATTCCCTTCTTATCTGTTACAATAAGTCAACTGTGAATTATCTTCAGATTGTGCAAAATGCTGCAGTGAGGCTTTTAACAGGAACCCCTAGAAGAGCTCATATTACGCCTGTCTTATTTTCACTTCACTGGTTACCAGTCAGGTTTAGAATTGATTTTAAAATTTTAGTACTAACATTTAGGGCACTTCATGGTCAGGCACCTCAGTATATTGCTGACCTATTGACCCCATATTTTCCGAAGCGTGCTCTCCACTCCTCAAGTCAGGCCATTTTAGTGGTCCCCAAAACCCGTTTGAAAACTAGGGGGGGCCTGTCTTTTCAGGCTCTGGCTCCCACAGTTACTGTTATATAGAGCCTGTATGAATCATTCCACAAAAATGGTTGAAGTGCTGTCACTTAGCCTATTTTTACAGACACCAAAATCCTTAAAGTTGACATAATCATAGTAATTTCATTCTAATGACAAAACACAGATTATTCATCTGATGTTCAATTTTAGCAAATTAATTAAATGTCTTGTCATTTTGAGCATAGACCTACCTTTCATAATTTTTTCATGAATTCAGTTTCTTTCAAAAAAGAAAAAATCCTGACACTTGCAGACAACACGATGGTCATTGGCCTCATTCAAGACGGTGACGAGTCGGCCTACAGACGGGAGGTTGAACAACTGGCCCTGTCGTGCGGTCGTAACAACCTGGAGCTGAACACACGGAAGACAGTGGAGATGATAGTGGATTTTAGGAGGAGCTCCACCACTCTATCTCCACTCACTATACTCAGCAGCACTGTTTCAGTCATGGAGTCCTACAAGTTCCTGGGCTCCACAATCTCTCGTGACTTGAAGTGGGCAACCAACATCAGCACCATCATTAAAAAGGCATCAGAGGATGTACTTCCTGCGTCAGATCAGGAAGTTCAACCTGCCCCAGGAACTTTTGATTAAGGTCTATAGAGGAACCATCGAGTCTGTTCGCTGCTCATCCATCACTGTCTGGTTTGTTCCAGGAACCAAATAGGACAGGAACAGATTTCAGCGAACAGTCAGGACTTTGGAGAAAATCATTGGTGCAACCCTGCCCTTCATAGAGGACCTGTACACCTCACCGGTCAAAAAGAGGGCAGAGGAGATTTCTGCGGACCACTTACATCCTGGACACAAAGTGTCTGAACACCTTCCCTGTGGACGGCGTTACAGGTAAGACAAGCAGACACAGAGACAATTTCTTCCCCAGGCTATTACACTCTTGAACAGCCAGTCTATGTTTCCCCTTTTAACTTGTATATATTTTGTATTTATTCTGTTTTTAATCGGGGGCCATTGGGCTGGAGTCAAATTCCTTGTATTTTTGATAATACTTGGCAATAAAGTTTATGCTTATTATTTCATCGGCTTTATTAAATGGAACACTGAAATAAAACAAATAAGCTAGCTAATCATTATTAATATTAAAGAGATATCACCCAACAAGCACAGTGCCATTCGTGCGAGGAGTCCGTTCATTTTCACTACACTACCTAAGCAACATGCTGGCATGGTCAAATGGAACACAGCTTCTGTGTCAGTGAATGTGTGATCAACCTCGTGTTCTGGTGAAGAAAACAGTGAACACGGATTCATCCAAATTACTTACACCTGGCTTCATCCAGCTAGGCATCCTCAACCTGGTTTGGCCTTCGTGAAACGTATTAAGCCAGGATGCACTTAACACACTTTCTCATGTTATCCTGGAATTTTTAATTCTGCTTTTGTGAAACAGCCCTCAGGTTATGTGGGTACCTAGTGTGTTTACATGCAGTCTAGTCACCTGGTAATGTAAATCTGTTTATACATGCAGCAGATCATTACCCAGATTTCTCCTCCACCCGTGACTTATTTTGGAAGGATGGGCCACTGAATTCAATTGCATAGAGATAGAAAATGCTGCTTCCTGTCTTTTTTTTTCTACTGTATATCGGAGCGAACCGACAGCATAGCGAGAGAGACAAGACGGCAGACATAGTGGAGCGTCTTTTCACAGCACACTGTTTAAAATAATCCTGACACTCTTCTCTGCTACTTTCTTGTCTTCAGTGTTTTATCGTGCATCTGCAGAAAGCCAGTGACCTCCAAGAGAAATCTAGCTAGGGAAATGAGGTTTTTGTAATCCCCTATATGATTACAAAAAATGAGTTTTGATTTGTTTAGTTTTTTTTTTGTTTAAATGACAGATTAATCTGCTGGAGAAATCTGACTAACAGGTCAGTGTGTGTGCTTACTGTGCCCCTGGTCTTCTGCAGCTCGCTGGTCGACACCATCGTTTTAAGCTCCTGACCACTTAGGTTTCCAAGGAGGGTGGCCTGCAAAAATATGCCAAATATTTCCTTGTTTATTGCTTCTTAAATATGAGACTTTGCTACATCTTATTGTACATTTTTATTGTTGTTTCTGACAAAAAAACTAATTTGCCGCAATTTCTTCAGTTTTTCTGCAATTTGAAGATGTCACCTTGCGCTTTGGGAAACTGAAGAGTTTCTAATATTTTATACACTAAACAATTAAGATGCAGTTCATACCTGAGTGCAGTGTGGCACAAAGCCATAGACCAGGGTGTGGCAGTCATTGAACAGAGCATGGAGTTGCTTGGGGGCTTGTACAGGAGTAGGTGCTGTTGGGCTGAACTGCTGCCACTTCACTGAAACGGAACTGCAACCAGGAGACGTCATACGCTTCACCTGACGTGCCACCTACAGGCACAACAGACATGTCACACTTAACAGCTGTTGTACTGGGAATGCAGTGGGACTGAAAAGATCCTCTTGTGAGACATGTCAAGTCCTAAGTCTTGCTTGATGAACATCATATATCCCCTGGGATGAAGCAGCAGATCCATTTGGACAAATACATATTTACAGCAAGACAAAAATGATAAATAAAAAAAAAACAAAATGATCACACCTTGTTTTTTTTTTTTACTGAAAAGGCACTGATTATACAATAGTGCAACAACACCCTATAAGCCTCAAGGCCTGGACGAAAGCATTTATTACATTAGTTCACAAATGCTGTTACAATAAAGGGGCTATGATTAGTGTTTTTTTAATAGCAGTGTACAGTACTGCACCAATGACAATGTGGAAACAAAGTGACAATCTGAAAGGGGTCTTAGTGAAGAACCTACAGAGAATCAGTGTTTAGCTGTCTGGACCACGAGGTCACTGTTCTGGCTCACTCAAAGAGCTCTCGCAGTGTCGGTTTCAGACTCAGCAAGCAGCGGTTTTCAGTGACAAAGCTCTGAAAACCCACTGTTCAATCCACCAAATTGGAGACAGACAAAATTAGAGACTAGCTGGGGGAAACAGGATTTAGCAGCTAAAGGGCCAGAGATTTTCCTCAGGAGGTGGTAGAGACCAAAACAGAAAATAAATTGGACTGACATTCATCAGGTGGGCAGCGTCAATGATAATGCTGCTCCTTAAATGCTGAATAAGTAAGTTTGCTAATACAGTGTATATGTCACCACAAAACGTGTTCACAACTTGTTTCCAATGCCCTGAAGTTGCCACAATATCAGTTACTGCAGGCTTGACTGTGAATCATTTATCTTAACTGAGGTACAGAAACAATATACTGCATTTTTTTCATCATAAAATCAGGAAAAATGAAAAAATTAAAACCACAATAATTACTAGCAAAAAAACAACCCCCCCCCCCCACCACAACACCTAAAAGGGGGGCGTCTTTTTACCTTCTCTGCCCAGTTGTGCTTGGTTTTTGTGTCAAAGAATTCATAGGCTCCTCCTCCTGCCTGGGCCAGGGCTCTCAGCATGTGCCGATTGGCTGTCGAACTGTAATGGCACAGAGAAGCAAAAACACATATACCTTTAAAATGCCTGTAATAAAAAAAAGCTCAGTGTTCAGATGGTTGTTACAGCTATATCAGAAATGTTCATGTAAATGTGTTTGCCATTAGAGTGTGGTGGTTAGCAATAAATCAGATTCCAGAAGAAATATGTAATAGAACAGTATGTAGCTCATATTTGTTATTAGCTTGTGTAAGAGAGAGCTGAGTGGTTATGGGGTTATTAAGTTCATGTGAGTTGGGCTTATGTAAGGGGTCAGGATGTTTCCTGTTTTCGAAGTGCAGGGTTCCCGGAATAGAGGAGTGAGAAGGGGGGCCCGATAGACGTCAAGACTGACAAAGTCCAGCTGTTGTAAAATGGCTATATAGCTGATAAAGGAGTGAGCCTGAGGAAGAGAGAGGACCATGCGGCAGTGAACAGTAGACCATGTACCTTTTGGGGACCCAGCCGGCTGGGGAAGACGCTGACTGACTCGGGACTGACAACCAATGACTTGACTGACTGGTGCTCTGGCAATCTTTAGGTTTTATCTATCACATTGCAGGAGGGAGGCTCTGTTCTCTGATCTCTGTTCCCCAACTACAAGATTATGTGTCTAAATACTACTCTATTCAGAATAATTGTAATATTAAATGATCCTTTAAATTGTAATGGTTTGTATGAATTAATTTAGTCGGTATTACACTCTTGCCACGACAAACCTTGGCGTTGTCTATGCAGGTAGGAGTCCCATTTTGACTGTCCTTAAAGAATTTGTGTGAAGGGGAACCAAATAACTTGATTGTATCCTGACAGGTGGCTGGGAAAAACTACGGCAATTACTAACACTAACATCATTACTAATACTGATGTAAATAACTTGCTTTAAATGTTTGCAGGATACGGTGATGTTGTTTTTACATGCCTGAATTTTATGTAATAGTGAAACAAGCCTCTAAGGATTGACAGAGATAAAGTTATAAGTGGGAGACAGCGGAGTGAACAGCAGAGACTCAAAGTGCTTTCTGTTTGAGAATAAGTGTGGATTTTGATGTGTGTTTAAACAGGTACACATATTTTTTTTGGTGTGGAGATGCGTGTCTGAAGTTAGGGACAGAGGGAGTGATTGTGTGTATGGCAATTTCTTGTTGTTTTTGTGTCAATTTCATGTGTTTTTAGACTATTTACTGCTGAGGTGAGTATAAAACTTATTTTTTTATTTTTGTGAAACAATGAGAATGTGTGGGGGGTATGATTCTCCCCCTCTTTGCTCCGTTTGTGTGTGTTCTACTATCGACTTCCTATATGACCGAGTGTGTGTGTGAGTGAGAAGGTATAGCGCTTATTAACATTGTGTAAATAAGTAACTGTGTGTGTGCTGGTTGTTGTTGTTGTTTTGTGTGTGATTGTGCTGTGCATGGTTGATGCTCTGAGGACAATAACGTATGAATGTAGCCTCCATTGGGTTGGACGAGATAAAATACATTTGAAAGGCAATAGCATTGGATTGGATAATGAACGGCATGAAATTGAGTTATGAGGTGTAAAATTGCCTGAATTGGATAAAAATATAGAATTTGAGGCTAAAGAGCAGAGTCTGACCTGCAGGTGGGTCTGCAGTAGAATTTGGCTTACATAACTCAGCATTGGATTGGCAGTTGAAAAGCTGTTAAAGCATTGGATTGGCTTTGTGAATTGTGTAATAATATATTATACAGTGAACTGTGTAAAAAGTTATTGAAATTAGGAGTAACGTTTCTGCAGTGCAGGCAGACTT